CAGGATTAACCCTTGTGTGTCCATTTCCATGGATGTTTCTTAGCCTCTCTCTCTGGTTGTGTCAGCAATGATTGCTCATGTTGCCATAGTGACAGGGGCCAGCCAATGTAAGATAGGCAAATCCACATAAGTCACCCACAACAGACACTCTTAGCTACAACAGACTACACCTCCCCCTGGTACTAGACACACAAAGATGCTGCCAAAGGACTGACAGCAGCCTCGTGAGCTGTGAAGAGCTCATGTCACAGGCTTACCATGGTCAAACCAATATACATAAAGTCAGCCCGGGCATCTTTGTTGCTGGTCGGGTGAGAGACAGGCCTTATAGAGGCTTATCCTCTCTACATGCCTGGCTCTGGGAGACAGTGCACTTCACCATACTCTGGATTTCATACATCAGAGTCTACAAAAAGGTTCATATTTGAGTTCCTGTCTTCATTTTGGGCATATAAGAGCAGCAGATCCCGGCGGGATAAATGTCCAACAAACAGATCCATCACTTGAAAAACATATACAAGTATTTTAAATGTATAAATGGAAAAAAGCATAAAAATAAAAATACAATAAAATGTATTACACCTAGATTCAGTGTATCAAAATGCCGGCATGAATTAAAAAAATATAACATAGTAATAATAGTAAAAAAAAATCTGGATGAAAATGTGAGAATAATGTTTAAAAAAATGTGCAAAAATTGCATCTTTACTTATATCTACTGCACACATTTAAATGACTTATAAGTAACTGAGAATTAGATTATTGCATTAAAACTATCATGTATTTATATCATGTGTACAATGTAATAAAGAATCATGGAGCAACATGTATACGGGCACACAAACTGCATACCACTGCAAATACACCCCAGTGCAAGTCTGGTTCAGGATAAAATATTACACCATCAGAACAACAAATGGGACTTTAAATATCAGACAAAGGCAGCAAGTCATAACCCACTGAAATAACTTGTTTAACTGATGCTTGAAGTTTAAATTGTTCTGCATACCAAAATGTGTAAAAATAAACTTAAAAAAAAAATCACATTTCTACTCATGTCCGCTTTGGTGTATATATTTCCAGTCATTTATATGTGTTATCTATAGTGCAGTTAAAAGGTGAAGATGAATGTAATATTAATAATGATGATGATAATAATAATAATAATAACGACGCTGATGATAAATGTTATTATAATGTTGCAATAATGTCATATTACTGATCAGCACCAGTGTTTAGTCTCACTCCCTCTGTGAAGACCTGTTTACTGAGCAGCTCGCAACAGCGGCTTAATTTATGAATAAATCATTTATGAAACATTGTTTTCACTCCCAGTGTGCATGGGTGGTGTATTAATGAGAACCGTGTTCGTGCTGGTGGCTGTAACAACCTAAAGAGTGCAGCAGGAAGGGAAAGTTCTTTAGTGGGTGAAAGGAAACTACTTTACATCCTCGATATGGGATAATCTGTCTTTTCTGTCCTTTGGGGTTAGATGCTGTAGATCAAATAGTTTGCGTGCTAGATATGACGCTTGCATAAATATGGAAAAATTGCTGTCCTAATACTGCTTGTTCTTTTTATATCACAACTTTGGACATATGGGTGAGATCTCTGCTGGCTGTGATCTGAATATCTGATTATTATTTGAGGCGATTTAAGCAGATTTAGAAGCCTGTGGGATTCTCCTTTTGGCTTAGTGCTTTGTGTGTGTGCGTGGATCTGTGTGTGTGTGCGCGCAGACTCAGAGAGGAAAAGAGGGTATAGAGATTCCTGATGTTAGGGGATTTACTCGTCCTTGGGCAGTTCAGCATACAAACGGAAAGGCAGAATTAACTGACAAACTTATTCTGCTGTCTCCAAGTGTAAATTTACAAGATCTTGGTGTACTTTTGACCAATGGGACTGCTCCACTGCAAATGTATGTGCATCACGTTTGCATCCTGCTTGGGCCCAGGGTCTTGGTTGTCACTGCCTCAGCTCAAGCTGATTGCAGCAAGCCTATGTTCACTAATTAGGTAAACATGACAGCCACTTTGCAGTCAGCATGATCTTTGTCTCCACGCTCATCTCCACTGAGTTGCATTAGGACAATTCTCATCTGTGTCAGTTACAAGGAAGGGATATGGGATGCAGGGAGGAGGAAGGGAAAAATGCTTACCAGACAACCTTTATGTGCAGTTGTGCATTAGTGGGGGGAGGAGGAGCAGAAGTGGGAGAGGGCGGCTGGCGGTGCTGGGCAGAGGAGAGAGGAGCAAATGCATTGCAGAGGGAGAGGAGGAGGAGGGCCTACAGCTATTGTTCATGTCCTCCCGTGAACAAAGGGCTCATCGGGGTCCATATGTAAACCCACAGCAGGCTTCAGCCCACTGACAAGGCCTCATGCGGGACAAAACATAACCGACCGACTCCCGCAATTTAGGCCTTATTCCGTTTGGAGGAGATTTTTTTATTGATCCAATTCAAAGGGACGTATTGTGTGGGTACGTTGCGTCCAGCGGGCCTATCCGTTTTTACGCACGGAGCGTACACACGGTCTATCAGCACGGATCTGTAAACATCAATTTTCTGATAGGACTTCTTTGCAGGTAAAGGGTCGCCTTTCCTCCAAACACACTACTCGACTCTAACGTTTAGCTTTTTTAACGTTTACAGTTGGTGTAGGAACTGCCGCCGGTGTAATTGCTCCTCTTTTTGAGTGCTTTTTCGTTGCGAAGGGATTTAACGCTAAGGCGTTAGCAGGAAGGCTAAAACCAGCTAACTGGTTACAAACAGTTTTCAGGCTAGCTGACGTTAGCCTACCTTGCAGGCCTACGAGGCAGTGTTGTACACAGTCACCGTCGCTGTGGTTGAGGGGATCGGGATTATGTATTGTGTCTTGTTTGTTCACATAAATGTATTGCTTTTCAGATTATTATTGTTTGGCGTTTTGTTGTTAAGCTCGCTCGAGTCCCGTAATAAATTTAGCCTAGCTAGCAACTATATGCTAGCTTGGTGCCATTCTAATTGCCTTTGTAGCAACTCTACATCCAATCTTCTTTAGCAGTTAAATTTATGAAGCATAGATGCCGAAATAACCTAAACCGGTGTCACTTTACGTTCAAAGTTTAACAATGTGGTTCAGGCTTATCCGGCTCACAAATTCCGTTTGGATACTTGTCCCTTATCTTGTCCCTTGTACTAATCATGGTGGCAGTCTTGAGTGGCAGGAGTGCACAACCACGACAGGTTATATCCCCATTTAGAGGAGACTTGATGTTGTGATGTTGGGTGGATTTTTGGCGGCTGAGCATGAAGAAAAGTCAATAGTTGAGTGTTTTTTGGCATCCGTGCCAGTTTGACAGATGATCTGCTCTAAAAGTTTCTGTCCACAAGCAGATGTGTGTATGTTTAATGTGTATGTTTCTGTCGACATTGTGTACTGTGTGCTTGTAAAAGAGAGGAACACGATTCCCAGTGGAGGAAGTGGAGTCCAGCTGATGTGATTGTGACTGCCTGTCATTAACCGCTAACGGGAGAGGAGAGGAGCTAATGGAGCTCTCAACAACTAATGGACACACAAAGAATCGATTATTTATTTATTTATCTGTCTTCTGGTGGTGCATCCAGCCCATAGCATAGTGTTGCACATAGTAAACAGCTTGTTTTTAACTCGATTTGAAGCCAGGGTTTCAAATAGATGAGTGTTTTATTGCCTTTCCTTTTTAACTTTTTAGAAAGATGGAAATGTTTTATGGCTCTATACTCTTTACGGAAAACTTTTTTATTAATTTACCTCTGGGTCTGTAAAAGCTGTGATCACTGCTGTTATTCACAACATATTTGAATGCAATTCCTCCTTTCACTAGAATGGATTTCATAAGGATGCATAGATTAGTGATTTATAGGAACAACATCCTAATGTGTGTGACTTTAAAGGTTAGGCAGCCTCTGTCTGCCCACCTCACCACAGTGTGTCTGCAGATATGTGTTATGAAGTGTTACTAGTACTTTTTACTGGTTTAACTGTTTACTATACATCTTACGTCACTGTGTTCTCATTTCATAACAAACTTTCCTCTGAGACAAGTCCCCCTCTTTGGTTATATCTTTCCTTCAGACATACAGTGACATAAATATGTTTAATATGCAGAGACACCACAGAGAGATATGAAGGAGGTGGGGCTTCACCATGGTGACGCAGAGGTCGTGACCCAGAGGCCGCCACGCCTGGATGGCCTTTATAAGAGAGCCAGGCAATTAGAGTAGAACAGGGACTGGATCTTTATGTGTGTGTGTGTCAGTGTCATCAGTATGTTTTCTCTTGTGTTTGGGGTTCCTTCTGACTTACTGTTTAGTACTTCATGGTAAGGCATCAGTTTCTATGGTAGTGCTGCATGAGGCTTCTTCCATTGTGTTGTTTTATATTTTAATGCCCCAAAAATGAGCCATTCAGGGAAGACCATGGAATGAGTGCAGTTAAAACTGGACCATACTGGTTATTTCAGGCTGATTAGGCATCAGAGGTGTAACAGTTCTCCACTTTTTACTTTGGTTTTCAAAAAAAACAATTTTTAGCACAGGTCCAGTTATTCAATCATGATTGGATCATGGACCAAAAAAGAAACTATGTATTTATGTATCGCCGCTTCAGTTTTTAGCCAGATAATCTTTAAACCTGACAACTTTACCATACTAGCATGCTTCAAGTAGGTAAGGCAAGATCTGATGCCGTATCGTGGGCCTTTGCATCTTTTCAATCTCAGTATTACAGATTCGTACAGCCCTGTTCGACATCATCATCTTTGGTTTTGTTGGGTTTTTTTCCATAACCTCAGCTTTATCAATATTGAAAAGTTTACTTTTTTTTTCAGTTAATAAATTTTCTATCTTTATCTTTTGAGTCTAAATTTGGCATGCTTACTATACACACGTCATGTTCTCCGTCAGGTCACAAGTTTTCATCTGCCATAAGTTAAATATAATAACATATATTACAAATATATACGTCACTTCTATTCCAGGCTGTTCCTCCAAGTCGTTCAAGCTGTACTCCCCCAAGGAGCCCCCCAACGGTAGCACTTTCCCCCCTTTCCACCCCGGCACCATGCTGGACAGAGACGTGGGGTGAGTTTAATTTCTGTGCTGTGTTTGTAAAGCTTGCCAAAAATTAGTCTAGCTGACTGCTTATGGGGCCAACTGTGTTGTTTTTAAAGTATGTTTTCTGTTAGCTGTCAAATGTTTTTCAAATGCTTCTGTGCATTCAAACTGTTGTCACAAAGTTTTTGCAGTGCGTTTACAATAACATAACAAGTTATCGACTTAAGTAGCATTATCCTCACTTTAGCTGTCTCAGCTCCGCTCCACAAACACGGCGAAGGAAATCTTGTATCTTTGCGTAATTACTTTAAGCCTTTAATTTAAAATCAAACCAACAGATAGAAATCCTCCTCAGTCTGTTTTCCCACGTTTTGTGAGGGATCAGTGTAGCCACTCAATGCTTGCACATTCATTTCAAAGTGTGTAGAGAGATGAGCACATGCAGTAGGTGTGACTGTGAGCACATCAATGTTGCAAGAGTGTGTTATATTAGAGTGAAGCTGGTGTGAAGCGTGAATTTTCCTGGTAAAATTTTAGTTCAATATTTATTTAATCCGTCTATTTTTATTAGTTACTTATGGCACTTACGGGCGAGGGGGCACAGCCTATCCCAGCTGAAATGGTCAATCACATAGCAACACAGAGAGATGACACACTCACGTCCCCATCTATGCCCAATTTAGTCTCGCCAATTACTGTAACATTCGTGTCTTTGGTCTCTGGGAGGAAGCCGGAGTACTCAGAGAGAACGCAAACAGGGATTGGGAGAACATGCAAACCTCAATTAATAATTGAATGCATTATGCTTTAAAAAAACATCAAGCCTTGAGATCATCTATTGGCATAATAATGTAATAACTGAGTGATGCTACCTTCCAGTATCAGATCCTAAATATAAGCCGTTTTTCAAAGTGTTGCATACGTTGTACAATATTACCACGCACTGGTAAAACACCTTTAATATATGAAGGTTTATTCCTTGTATTTAAGTAAAGGGGGGCCCGCTGATCTTCTGTCATTGAGTGAACATTTGCATCAGTACTGCTGTAATCCAGAGTAGAAAAATGTTATTCATTCATCGTTTACGCCACGAATTATAAAGGCAATTACCTGCTGAGCTACTGTGAGCAATGTTTAAACTGTTAACTGCTGTATGAGGTGAAAATTTACAGCCAAAAAATTGCATTGAATTGTGTAGCTCAGTAAAGTTGGAGAATATAGTTGTTCTTTTTAATTTTGGTTGTTTTTCCACCCGTTGTCATTTTGCAATAAATAAATAAATGAATCGGCTGCAGTTGTTGATTGTGTCTGTGCATTTGAGAATTGATATTTACCGTCTCATCCAATTTTTGCCATGTTTGGCTCATGTCCCGGGGTTGTAAAGGCAGACTAGCTCCTTGAGGAGAGCATATTAGCACTATAGCTGAATGTAATAATGTCTCTGTCTCCTGTTTCTCTACAGCCCCACTCCAATGTACCCTCCCACATACCTGGAGCCAGGAATAGGGTAAGACTACATTGTTTCCCATTATTCCAGGCAGGTTTAAAAACCGTAGTAATACAAATACAGATAAGATTGTGAGATTTTTTTTTCCTTCTCTTAATTGCCTAGAGATCTTGGAGTAAGACTGTAAGCCTCAACTGGGTTAAACCCTGCTAAATCTAAAGAGTCTATGAGAGCTGTAACCCTACTGCATTTTGATGACTGTCAGCTTTTGTGTTCTTTTCAATTTGTTTCTTCCAGGAGGCACACACCATATGGCAACCAGACAGACTACAGAATATATGAGCTCAACAAACGACTACAGAACTGGACAGAGGTTTGTGTGCATACGCAGCCACATACATGGATGCTAAACGCCCCCAAAAAGGTGTTTAATGGATAACTTTCTCCTCTCTACAACGTAGGAGTGTGACAACCTGTGGTGGGATGCATTTACTACAGAGTTCTTTGAGGACGATGCCATGCTGACCATTACTTTCTGTCTGGAAGATGGACCCAAACGTTACAGTAGGGAGCTGATTGAATGACACAAATCAGATTCAGATTTTCAGAATCAGGTTTTTCAGATTCAGATTTCTTCTTACAGCAATTGGCCGGACGTTAATCCCGAGGTACTTCCGGAGTATATTTGAGGGCGGTGCCACTGAGCTCTACTATGTACTGAAACATCCCAAGGAGTCCTTCCACAATAACTTTGTCTCCCTCGACTGTGATCAGTGCACTATGGTCACACAGAATGGAAAACCCATGTTCACACAGGTGTGTATGTGCAGGGGATGTCTGTGGAGGTATTGGGGACAAATACAGCTGGTACTTCTAAAAACTGATATTTAAAGATGAAATTTCTGTCTATGTCCATCAGAGTAATTCTATTTCGAGACAAAAGTTGAAATATGGAGATTAAAGTTGTTTCAAGAAAAATGGAGTCGGTGGAATCTTCATAATTAACTTTAGTAAAAAGGAAGGAAACAATTTCTCTTTTAGCACGTAGACGTCAAAAAGGTGGTGCAGGAAGCTGCAGCTGCAGAAGGAAAAAAAAAACACTCGGAAGAGTGGATTTGCACAAAATGTAATGGCTGGCAGTGGACAGATGCAAGGATATCAATAGTTCCACCCTCATCCAATAAAGTGGATGTACGCTGTATCACAAGACAGCTGATCAATTTGTTTCACCAACTCATCTAAATAAGGCATTTTGGAAAGGGTATAGAAATCTGTCTTGAAACAATAACTGTAATCGCCACATTTTGACTATTTCTCATCTTTAATCTCGAAATTTCAACTTTATTCTCAAAGTGATCAACATGTTTCTTTTCTTAATTTGGCCCTAATACTCAATAAGATGTAAATTTAGCTTCTCTCACTTTAAGGCACTTTTCATCTGATTGGCTGTCCATTACAAACAGCAGATTGGAGCATCTGAGTTTAGAGCCGTGTCCCTGAAATAAACGTATCAGGAATATTTCCTCTTATTAACATACAGATACATAAGTTTAGAAATAAAATAAAAAATAATAAAACCGATTGTGCAGATCAAAAACCGGTCGTCTCCTCGAGTTACCTGCATGCTACCACAGCATTAAGGACGTGGTTAGTTGCCGTTTTAATCAGATTTTATGAGTGTTTCGTGCATTCTGTCGTGCACAGAATCTCTGTCCCAGGCTCTCCGCAAGTGATTATTAACTTGGTTGACATTGCATTGATGATAGATGTGACCTTCTCTTTCCACCTCTCTCCACTCTTATTTTGAGTATAATTACTGTCCCAAAAATGGAAGGCAACATGCAGCTTTGTTGATCATGAAATCGGCTCATATCATTGTCCTTTTCTGCAGACAACGTAGGGATTTGTTCTACTCGTGTAGCGAGAATCTGATATTCTGTATAACAAGAATTATTTAAAAAAGTATTTTCGAAAAATTTCTTAATGAATTCCCTGCTGCAAAAAACACTGTAATCTTTAAATGTGTAAACATGTACCCACTCCTGCATAGATTCTATTCGTCTCTCTTCGGTTGTGTACTAACTCCAGTTCTCTGATCTTCTGCAGGTGTGTGTAGAAGGACGCTTGTACCTGGAGTTCATGTTTGACGACATGATGAGGATAAAGACGTGGCACTTCAGTATCCGACAACACCGTGAACTCATTCCTCGTAGTATACTGGCCATGCATGTGAGTGAATGCAGAGGAAGTAGGAACCCACACCGGCACACGCTGTTTGCTAGCTTTCTAATCTCCTTTCCATATGTTCCAGGCCCAAGACTCTCAGATGCTGGACCAGCTGTCCAAAAACATAACAAGATGTGGCCTGTCGAACTCCACCCTCAACTACCTCCGAGTGAGTACAGTACATGTGCAACATTTGGATTTGGAAAATTGTTCTTTCCTTGTGTCTTGATCGTGGTCCAGATGTAATTTCGTAAGAAAACATTTCCATCTCTGAAAACTTTACAGGATGTTAAACAGTTAATTAGGGACATTGAGTAACCTGCCAAACAGCAGCATATGTTATATACAGCATCACTGAGTAGAGTGAGAAGACTGTTCAGAACAGTTCCTGCTTTTAAAGCACTTTGAATGATTACCTTCTGGTTTATAAATGAATATATAGCTTGTAGTCAAGGTGTGTACAAACTGGAGACTTTATTTTTGGACGCTTTACAGATCCTGTGGGGTGACAACCTACATAAGCACATTGTGTTCATGTACAGTAAAGATACAAGAATGGTTGAAAGGGTTTATTACTAAAAACTGACCCTGTATGTAGAACGTTTTTGACTAGTAGTGTCTCTGGAGAGCAGTGCTTGGCTTGAATCTCTTGTTTTACAAGCGTGAAGCTGCTGCTTGTTGACAGGAACCTTTAAAACTTTAAGGGGATATTATAAGTCATCATCTTGGCAACATTTTACCAGCATCTATGTCTGCATAATTTACATTTCATTCAACAGCTATTTCCCCATTTGCTTTTAAAAAAAGGCTCTTCATCCTCTACCCGACTGTGCAAATAATCACAGCCGTTTATTAAATTTTGTGTGTGAGACATGAGAAAAATACTGCCTCTTTAGTTATTGGTGACATCCCCTTGCAGAACAGTAATGCTTTAAATGTTCTTGTATGCTTGACAAACAGGCCCAGTTGGATACTAGCAGGCTGTTTGTTTTTCTGCATCTGGCGTGCCTCTCATTTTAAACACAGCACGCAGCACCACCTCACATCCATGTGAAAATTGATTGGAACATGAGCTTTAGATGCCTCTGTAGTGATTAAGCCACTCTAACGTTGCCGCGAAGTGATAACAAATTGTTTTGCTTGATGTTTTATCCCATCGCATTGTCTGATCTCAAACTTTCAAGTCAACCAGTGATGCTAATAATGCTGAACACCAGCTGATAATGCTGGTAATAAATCAAGCGGAGCAGCTCTAATTACCTTGAAAAATGGGTAATCACTAACCTGTGGCATCTCCTCTGTTCCTTCCTCTAGCTGTGTGTGATTCTGGAGCCCATGCAGGAGCTGATGTCCAGACACAAGACCTACAGCCTCAGCCCCAGAGACTGCCTCAAGACCTGTCTGTTCCAGAAATGGCAGAGGATGGTGGCACCACCTGGTAGGTGAACCGCATGATTAGATAGGACACGCAGACACGTTGATATGTGGTAACTGGATGTGTAACTTTCTCTCTTTATTCCTTATCTGTAGCTGAGCCATCAAGACAAGCCCCTAACAAACGGCGGAAGCGTAGGATGTCAGGCGGCAGCACCATCAGTGGAGGAGGAGGAACTAACAATAACAACAACAACAAAAAGAAGAGCCCTGGTAGTGGCTTCCCACTGTCCAGCCAAGTTCCGGTGAGTGCTCTGGTGCCATCTAGTGTCTATCATTTGAGCACACATTATCATTTTGCTCTTTGATAAACTGCTCCATGGATTTGCTAAGGAGAGTTCAGATAATCGTGGCAACAAAAAAGCGGGACTCAATAAACCAAAGTCATTCTGTGTACAAAAATATGAGGACTGACTCAGATTCTGTAATCCTAACCCTAACTAAAACACAGTTGAAACGTCTTGTTACTGACTGAGCTAGTAGAAGTACAAATGTCACTTTTAAACCCTCTCATGTTTTTGCAAACACCTCATCAGGGTTCATTCTTGTTTTGTTTAACTGTAAGATAAACTTGTGCCATTTAATGCATTTTTAATATAGCCGGGAAAAGTTACTAATAGCAACCCAGGAAAATAAAAGCACTGTGCTATGACTTTTGGGTGAGTTCCATACTTTCATTTTCATGGTAGAAAATGTATTAATTTTCTTTAAATTCAGTTGTTGTCATTAGTCTATAGCCATTACTTTTGGAATTAACATTTTAGATGTTGCTTGACTGTAATCAGGTCAGAGCAAGTGTTTTAACAGTAAATACATCTTTATTATTAACAGCTGGTTGGTCAAAGTTCCTGCCAAAACTACAGCAGGTGCAAATGAGAGGTGGCTTTACAGGGGGGGATTCAGAGGCACTAAATGCATCGCTTGTATGATATAAAATCGTATGCCATCTGTTCTAAGATATTCATGTGGTCTGATTGTTGTGCTGTTTTGTAACTCCGTAGGATGTGATGGTGGTGGGAGAGCCCACTCTGATGGGAGGGGAGTTCGGCGACGAGGATGAGCGTCTGATCACACGGCTGGAGAACACACAGTTCGACGCTGCCAATGGCATAGATGACGAGGACAGCTTCAACAACTCTCCGGCGCTGGGCTCCAACTCGCCTTGGAACAACAAGGCTCCTTCCAGCCAGGAGAGCAAGAGCGACAACCCCACCTCACAGGCATCACAGTAGAGCCCAGAGCCCCGCATCCTCAACCTAACCCCTCCCTGTCACTCCTAGGCCCCCACCCCACCTCAATAGCCATGACTGCAACAGTAACAGTCCATCATCTGCTCTCCAATCCAAACACCACTGTAGCGCTCAGATTCAAGCACAGGTAGCCCGAGGGGGCTCGGACTGTTTTGCCGAGCTGGAGGAAGTTTCACAACTTCGATTATTGCGGTGACTTCCTGATAATTAGGCACTGTGTCCCACCTCTCGCTCCCTTTTCGTCATTTCATAGACAAAAAGTCCCATCTGCTCTTGCCAATTTTCAGTTTTGGATGGCAACCGGGTAGCACGAGTGATGATTTAGTCCAGGGGAGAACTGTGCACGCTAAAGTATCCATACTGAAGTTCACATGTAGGAACAGGTGGGGTGGAGGGGAAGGTGGCAGTTGGGCTTCAAGATGGTGGCGAGTCGCTTAGGGACGACTCGTCCACTCCTACGCTAAACATGCCTCTGGATTCTGGTCTGCTCTGCTGATGTGCGGGTCGCCCATAACGTTTGTTAATAGAGTGTGTGTGTGTGTGTGTGCGTGTGCGCTTGCATGCGTGCGAGTGTGTGTTTGTGAAAGTTTTGAGAAGAGAAAAGCAGCAGCGTGAGTTTAATGGTGGCTTTGCTGAAGCAGATGGACCAGGATTTAGAATCGGTATGTAAAACCATTTGAAATGAACACACTAATAAGAGAGGTGAAATGTGGCACTAGGGAAACATCAAACACACAGACGCGTGCGCGCACACACACAACCACACATAATGATCGAAGGATTTTGAGTCCCCCTAGTGCCCAAATATCTCTGATTAGACTACAGTGAATGCAGTCTTTCAAACAGAACATTGACAACACACACACATGCACAGTCTTACACACACACACACACACACAGTTACACATTTTAAGAGTTTTTATACAGTATATATTTCCCTAGAATGTTTTTTAATTTGTATTAAACGCCTTCATTTCAATTGTTACTTTTTTATTTTCTACCAATACTGAAAAAGCTACAGACCAAGGAGCAACACAGGACTTTTATCCCTTCCCCCTCTAAAATATATTGTTTTTATCTTTTATGTTTATAAAAGAGAAATACTTTAGTGTGGATGTTTTTATTTTGTCTTTTTGTTCCTTTTTTTTTTTTTTTCCTTTTGAGATTTGAATTTTTGTGTATTTGTGCTTGTATATTTAAGGTAGTAGCAAAGTTCTGTCTGACTGTAATAAAATGTATTCTTACTTAGATTTACCTAAAGCCATCCCAATCTAATGTAAAGAAACAAAAATAGGAAAAAGGAGAAAATTCATGAACCCGTCCCCTCTACCTTCCCACCTGCTCTCTTTCCTCCTCCCTCTTTTTTAAAAATGTAAATTACAACTCCCCCTGGGGGTACAATGCCACCATAGAGAGATGGTTTTACTGTTTATTTTCTTTAATTTATTCAGAAATTCAGTCATGTATTCATCTATACAGAAAGTGATTTTTTTTTTTTTCACTTAACATTCACAATTTTGTGTATTACAACTTGATGTCAAGTGAATGTGCTCGCTGAACTTTAGTTATCCAGTGACTTTCATGTTTCGTCACTGGCTAAACAGATTTTTTGTTTTAAGAAGTTTTCTGTCTAAATTGTCTTTATTTGTATTCATAACCAGAATCATACACATCTTCTTAAACCAGCCTCACATTGAGTTCAGTCTGCATATTTGGTAGCAATGCTGAGTCTGTAAAGTCTAATAAATGAACAGCTGAAGCTCTGTCATTGTTTTGTACATTTCCATTTTGTTACTGTTGAATCCAGCAGCAGTTATGACTGAGTTTGAATGGTGACTTGTACCTTCTCCAGACCCTGTAGGAAAATCATTGTTTGATATATATTTTTTTGATTTGGTTAGTTTCTGCCCTTGATAATTAATGTATGGTACCAATAAAAAGATACATTTTCACTTTAAAAAGCTTCTTTGTAGTTGATTGTACTAAATTTTACACTCAAAGCTTATTTAAGCCAACACTGTTTTTTAGTTGCATGTTGTGTCCTTTTGGCTTAAATAATTTTAAACAACATTATGTAGTGAATATTTCGCAAACACAAAACAGCTTAAACCCTGTTGCATATCTGGTTACCATTTATTGAAAGCTTATTTTTGGATAAAACTTACACACTTTACTTTGTGTGTTACATAGACTGATCTGCTTTCATCTCAAGACAAGTGAGACCATATAAGCTAAAAAGCATAAGAAAATGACTCATCAAACACATGATCAACTGCCTGGTTTAGGAAAAAGTGCAGTTACAGCGATATGTTTCATATTTTCTGCTTTCGATCACAACTCGAAGACTAAGCGGCATTAGATTGTTGTAAAAAGAAAATGCACTGGAAAAAAACAACAACAATGCCCTTTTGTGCAAGATTACTATTTTAAAAAACTAGAGGCCCTAACTGGACACTTTATTGGGTAGGTTCTCTGGTATATCACGTTATGTAACTTTATGTTAAATTACCTAAATTACCTAGAACCTGGAGTATGTCCTCTCTGGAAGTCCATAAAAATGCACCTTCTTGAATTCCACATAGGAGGTGTTGATACTCTGGGCTTCCTTCATGTAAACTGCCTTTAACAGTCTCTCTACATGTTTAGTATGCTGTTTACTTTTGTGGCGCAAGAATAAAAAAATAATTTAGGAACGGTAGCAAATTTTTTTTTTGTAGTTGTCAATGTTAAAAACCCTCCAAATCTTCAGAAGATTATTTTGCATTAGTGAAACATCTCAAAAACAAAACAAACAAAAGCAATGGTTTTGAGTTTTCTGCATACAACAATCATGAACCCGTCCTCTCTACCTTCATACAGTAGCCATAGATGCCCGGGGTGAAAAACAGAAAGCGTTGATGACAAATATTTTTGTTGCTCTCCAGGCTGTTTCTTCGGTAGTTTATGAATTATAGTACATCCCTCTGTTTTTTCTGAAACAGACCCTTTAGAGCGCAGCTCCTGTTCTAGAAGCCAGTGTGAATTTGTCTGTCTCACAGGCTTGAAGCTGTCCTTCTGGGTGTCCAAAGCCTGCAGGTATTCTGCCCTACCGGGTGGTTAATGGCTGTCAATCAAGTCTACATGTGCCCTGAAACACACATCTACAATAACATTGATGGGGAGAAGAGAGAACCAGTAGGCTTCTGACACCAAGGAACCAGAAATGTTGCCCTTATTGGTGAGACAGATTTCATATCTGTTCAGAGCAGCAACCAACAGTTCTGTCATTCAGGTTTTATCATCAGTCCTTTGTTTATGTAACAAAACCCCCCAAATCAACATCAATAATGTGCCTTCTTCACCCATTCAGTACCAAAAAGCTTTGTTTTTTTCCAAATTGTTTCCACTTGTATTTACAGAAGTGAAATCAAGAGGCTCTCTGTGGGTTACCAACATCCTTCAGACATTTACATACACCCTGCCTACCTACCATCATTATTTTTAAACAGGTATTTATTCCTCTTATTGTGCCACATGGTACCTTCACAGCTATAAAGGCTATCATTTGATCTTCTGCCGGGTCAAAGAGCAGACAGTTGGGACACAATAGAAGATTTGGGGAGAGTCAATTGTCTTTGTAAGTCCCAGCAGAAAAAATTATGTATGACTAATTGGGACGATGCACAGTTGGGAGACCAAAAAACAAACAAACATGTGCTGGAACCAAGGCCCTGAGCTGGCCTGGTGTTTGGCTTTGCAAAGTGTAAAATGGGCTGCTGTATTAAAAAATACTAGTTTGGTTTATTTACAGAAACTACATGTGAAAGTTTTGCGCCTTTCTACTGTATTCTTTTAATGCATATCAAATGTGCATTAATTTACTTAATTTAAAAACTAAAATATTATTTTTCAAACTGCACTTATTTTTTGGGACATCTCAGACTTGTCTATATAATAATAGAAAACAATTAAAAAAAGAAATAATGCCCTCTGCTGCCTGAAAAGTTTTAAGACAATGGGGTGTGAGGTGTTTTTATCCCATAATTATGGAATGGTTTTACTAGCGTAGCCCACATGAAATCAAATTGGCATGTGGATGAAGTGAAACAAGTCTGACAGACACTCATGATAGAAAGAATAACATATGTTAAAGAAATTAGTAATAACGAGTAGTTAGTCTTTTGCGAGGCTCATTGTTTGCAACAGGCTTAATTATAAATGACTCATGAATAAAATGAATCATTGTGCTCTATGGCAGGATAATTATGAACTAATCATTAACTAAAGATTCACTAATGTAGTGTCTCTCACTTTGATCTCTAGTAATTAGTTATTTTCTATTACATACTCACTGTCTATGACGTATTGGTCGATAATGAAAAGATATTATTGATTATTGATTCTTTATCAATTTCCCTCTTGATTGTTGATTATTCAGCAGTTTGAACCCAGTGTACAAATAGTGACTCAGGTGTGTAAATGCTCCACTTACATGATTCTGACTATGACTTAAAGCTGGCAAACAACCATGCAAGCATTTATATTTGGATCCTATACCATTCTGATGTACAGAACATTTTAGACCCCTCTTTAACAGTTATTAGGGAAGTACTTTTGAATGATGCATCAAACTGTTCCAGATGAATTCTGTACTTGTTCTTTATTAACTACATTGTTACAATATTGTTGTGTTATTGGATTATCTTGAAATATATCATAGTATTTTTGCATTATTAGCTGTCTGACGCTGCCCACAGCTTCATTTAAAACGCAGTGCATTAGCGTGAAATCTAGTGAAACACTCTCTTTCAAAGGTCATTATGTCTGCTGATGTGTTACAACAGAACTATTGAGCTGTGCTGGCATCAAGTAGCTGGCAGACAGAAAAGACTGCGGTAGTGTTTAACTTTCCTTTCTGTTTCATCATCAATTTTAACCTTAACAAAGAGTTTCAAGCAATGAGCACCTGCAAAGTTAAAACCTTCTTAATGTTCTCTCACACTCTATAAACCCAGTTTCTCTCCTCTACTCCTTTCTCATTAGGTTCTGATTTTCTTCCACTCTCTTCCTTCGTCTCCTTCTCTGTCTAATGACGCAGTAAAAGCAGAGCTTGTCTAATTTATTTTGGAAATTGAGGTGGTCCATGTACTCCTTACCAGAAATATTACCCCTTGATTGTAAAAGTTAATTTACCAAAAACGCATGAGGTCAAAATATGGACGCATTAACTGCTGTTTTGAACTACAGCCAAAACCATTGGGAAATATATTATCTTGGTCCTGAGAAACAGGTCTACCATAAAGACGGCGAAGCACTTGCTCTAATTCACAGATACAGACAAAATGAACGTGCAGTATAAAGTAGTTAAAAGGGAGTTCATTCATCTCAACTCACTGCATAATTTCCACACAACTCCATAGGAAGCAGTCACATAAATATGACAGAACACACTGCTGCTGAAAAGCCATTAAAAGACTGTAACTTTTACAGAAATAAAACTAAGATGTGAAATTAAGCTCCAGGATTTTAATGTACTGAAAATAAATTACAGTCAGAGGTGGGTAAATGTTTATTTCTGCTACCGCAAGCAATCTTTGTGGTATAAAGAAGAGCTTAATAGTTGGACTGTAATGAAGGCCACAAGCTGAAATGAGCTGGGCAAACAATAAAGTTACATACTTTAAGTCAAGCCTTAACCCTTCAGACTGCATGCTCTTCTCTCTGAACCTTTGAGATATGTGAAAATATGCCAGAAAACTCTTAAACATTTATTTGCTGTGTCAATTATTTTTTACATTTACTCATCAGGGGCTTGGACACATTGATACTCTTAAATGCTTAGTGAAACTTTCAATTTTCTATGGACCTAAAATTTCCTATCACTTAATTGATATTAACTGGAACAGACTTATAAAATGATCTTTTCATCGTCTGAAAAAAGGGTGTTTGATTATGTAGTTTTGCTGCTTTTCCTGCCTTGTTTAAAAGCAACATGACTGCCAGAGAAGAGGTCAGGTGACCATTTCACATATGAGCTTTGCTGTTTTCTGGAAGTGTATTATTACCTCACTCAACGTCTTTATAAACACAGTTTTAACAGAATTTAATAAATCGTCACAAACATCTAAGTGTTAATAGAATACACAAATCTGTCGCATCATAAAAAGTACTGTAATCATTTTAACACTTTATTTGTTTTGTAATTTAGAATCTTTGGCTAAAATTGTGTGATATATTAAAGCAAATAGTTGTTTTCCCAGGTTGATGTGGGATCAACATCACCTAGAAGGGGCTGTGTAGTAAAGGTGCACTGGCTATAACTACAGAAAATATAATAATAACGTTTAGACTCTTTGTTTAATTAACATTGTCACCACTTCAAAAATGAAACAAAACAAAACACAAGCAAAAAATAGACTTTTAGCTGTCTACCATGTCGACAGGAATAAACCAGTCATATCTAAGTAGGCCTGTAACTGGGAGCCACCATCCGAACGTGGCCAGCAATGTCCTCACAAGTAAAAGTCTGTACTGCTATTTGACTTGATTGTGCTTCACTTATATGTGACACAACACCTTTTCTGTGAACCACAACATGCTCCAGTTTTTTTTCGTAATTGCTAAACATCTGTCCTTTCTGCTGCATATTTTTGAATCGGAGTGGGTTGATAATCTTGCAGAGATGTGACCCTCTCAGTTATTCCCATTTTACAATGAGTTATTCTCCAGAGTCCCAGTCTTATATTAAATTATAATGAGTTAACGGGTAGGACAGTTTGTACACAGATAGTAAATATTTAATTTTAATCATTCTCTTTGTCACTCAGGGGTAAAAGTTTCAAAAGTAAAAATAGAAAAGGACAAATATATGAGCTCATGCATTTGCGTGAATATCAGCATCCATATGTCTGGTGTCTATATTTTCCTCATTCATTCATACAGACACGTACTGTAGTATCAGTGTTTGACAGTGTCAGCACTGTTAAATTGTCAAAATGTTCACTGTGTCTCCTTTGCCCGGAAAAGCTGCCCTATGGCGTAAACATGTTGCAATAAGTGTAGCGCTAGGACCCTGCAGATAAGCAGGAGAGTGTCGACAGCCGTATGCTAGCAGATACTGACTGTATGCTAGCAGATACTGTTGTTACAAGAATTCATGAACTGCAATAGCAGCATAGGTTTTAAAACTTTAATAGAGGTAAGAACAGACGACAGCCACCAATCTAAACAACACAGTAACATTGCTAATAATCCCTTTCAGATATCAGCTGACAGCCAAATCGTTGTTAATATCTTTGTGTGACAAATATTAAGCTACGTAGCGTTAGCTTCAGCTGGGAGGAATCTGGGCATTTTATTAGATTAACATTTAATGACCTAACCGCTAAAGTGCTTTTCGGATGTCTGCTGGACAACAGTGCATGCTACATGATGTGTTGCCGTTTGTTGTTTACTGCTTGATCCCACCAAGTTAGGTGGCATTGGTTAGCAAGCTAATGTTAGCTGACAAGCTAGTACTTCAACGTCCAGTTGGCTTAATACTGATCAGTGTGAGCAAATGTCAATATGATATATGATACTCAGATAATCAATTGATGCAAGCCCATAAGATGTTGGAAATGCAAACTGATAATGCACGTTCATTTTAAACGTATTACTCGGTCTGATTATGGGAAAATAACTTCTTAAATAAAAACTGTATACTTACATTCATAACCTGTTCATTATAAAAAGGGTGTGGGACAAAGGCACGAAATCTTGAAAAACAGGTCAGACTATTATCTGTTTCTTATCCTTTCTTTTATTCAAACAATACAGAATATTAATAGCCTTGTTTTTATAATAATCAATTGACGATTGTGGCTCCACAAGCCAGTGCACTCCTAGGGCCAGTCCTAAGTTTGGTCACAGAGGACATCTGGCATAAAATCCTTTACCAAATCAAACATACAGATTTTGAAGGATGAGATTTCCATATTGGATTGGTCGGGGAGTCTGGGTTAACAAGAACTACCTCTGGTGCTGTTGACCAGCAGGGTACAGGTAAAAACTGTGTGCTGGAGAGGGGGGAAGGCATATTCAGTACAGCGAGAAAGAAGGAATGACAGGAGTGTGGAGGTGAGGAATTTAAATGTTGGAACTATGACTGGTAAAGGGAGAGTGCTGGCTGGATACATTGTACAAAGGATGCTGATTATGGACCTACCAGGTGGGGAAAAAGGAAGAACACAGGGACAATTCGTGGATGTAGTGAAGGAGGACATGCAAAGAGTTGGTTTGACGAAGGAAAAAGCTAGGAATACAGAGAGATGGAAGAAGATAATCTGCTCTAAAGGGAGCAGCTGAAAAAAGAAGACAAATACTCATTAAATATATATGTCTTTTAACTGTGGTTATCTTCTCAGACTTAATCATGTCTCAGGTGGAGAAGAAGGCAGGGCTGCTGAGGAGGACGTCATCCTCTAAAAAGCCCTTGAAAGAGAAGGTGGTCCTCATGTATGATGAGATTTTTGCAGTGAGTATCATAGAAAGTCAAACAATGTCGATGTTGAGAGTTTTGAGAAATGCATTATGTTCAAGTGCTAACAATGTCATTTCTGCTTGATTTAGAAAGAAGACCCAGCAAAAAATAACCCTCGTTTCTGGGATGAGCTGTTTCTTATGAAGGTAAGGAGAAAGAAGTGTGCTGCATAACAGGAAATCTCTCACAGTGCACACTGTGGTTATGTGAAGCTGCAGCAGTGATGTGATGCACATAGTTTAAAGAATGCATACTTTAGAAAAGAGGAAGTACTGATGCTCAAATCAAATACACTGCAACCAAATACTGCAGAGATAAGGACTTTGAAGATTGCCAGGCAGTATAATTTGCATTTATTGTGATACTTCTCTACTATGAATGGTTAGGCTCTTGCTTTTTTAACAGGAGAGTAGTCTGAGATTTTGAAGTGAATCTTTTATATGACTTATGCACCCTTAACGTTTAATTCTCCTTGCCTTTCACTCAACACTTTTATCTTTTTTACCCGCAGGTGAACCTAGAGTACCTGGAGTCAAAGTTGGAGAGTGTGGATGGGGAGGACGTCCAGCGCATTCAAGACAACATCAACTCTCTGTTTCACCACTGCGTTCAGGCTCTGGGAGAGGAGCACCAGATCAAAGTGGTCAATGCCCTGCAGGTAACTATCACCTGGATTTTCAACTGCGTGCACATTGTGTATATAATCATCACATTAGGAGCAATCTAAGTATGTTGATCAGGCTGTTAGCTTCTTTTGACTGATAAATTATGTTAGCTTGACTCCATATTTTTATTTTAAAATATCATTTCACAAAAATGTGGAAATGTGTGTTGTGGTTTTTAAAAAATAAAAAATATTTAGGTTAATGGCATTCTATAATGAGTGTGTTGATATGCATAGAGGTGTTATGATTGCAGTTTATAATAACTACAGTACTAAAGCTTAACCCTGTTAAATAATGAAACATACTAAAACTATTTTTCTCCTTGATGCAGTAACAGCGACAATATCATCCCATGACTGTTGTTGTCTCATGCAGGATTTATGGACCTGCATCAGTATTGCTTTTTAGGTCTTTTTCTATTCAGAGTGAAGTTTAAGTATGCAACCAATGCAGAAGTACCCACCTGCAGTGCCCTTAAAAAACAACACCGTGTAGCCTGGTGGCACTGACATTATGTAGCAGTTGAATGCTGATTGGTTGAAAAGCTGGGTTAAACAGAAAAGGGAGCAATAGCAGAGTTCACCATAAACACCATCAAGCATGGAAAAAAAATCCAAAATCAAAACCGCACACTCAAAAAGCCCATAGATCTGTCACAACACAGCAGAGTCATTACCGTGTAGTATGACTTCTGTCTATCAAAACTCAAATATATAGTACATATTTACCTGATGTTCCACACCTTTGAGGCATCTCCCCTTGCTGTAAATCTTCGAAAATCTGCATAACATTTAAAAATTACCAATGCAAAATGATGTGGGGTGCTTTACAGACGTGCCGATTCATGAAACATGTGTTAAGCAGCCCATGTGTCCTCCTTTACTTCCAGACTCTCTGTGCACTTTTCCGAGGGGTCCACCAGAAGAACAAGTCGGCGTCCGGGTTTGATATTATCAACATGCTCATGGGGTTTGATAAGGCTGAGCAAAGGATGAAGGTATGTTAGACTCTAAACCAAAATAGAAAGAAATAGAAAATAGAAATAGAAAGGAAATTGAGTGAAGTCGATTAGTAAATAAAGATGTAAAGGGAAAGATGGGTTGAGTTGTTGCTGTTTTTTTACTCATTCATACACTTCCTTTTGTTTGTGTCTCCTGCAGGACCTGATGGAGAGACTGGACAGCCTTCTCTGTGGAGACAGCTCAGAGAGTCTCAAGAGCCTTTGCCTCAAACTGTTGCTGTGTTTGGTGACGGTGAGATGGAGCATGTATGATAATTATCATTTGATATGCTTGTTCTGCTGTTACACAAAATGTTACAGCTGTTGAAATATTGTGTTACAGGTAACAGACAATATTAGCCAGAACACTATACTAGAATATGTGATGATCAATAGCATCTTTGAAGCCATTCTTCAGGTAAATCATTTGAATAGAAAATATAATTCTGTGATTTTCAGTTATATTTTGAAATTGTCTCTCAGCTCTGGTTCTATTCATCTTTGCTCTCTGTTTGTTTCCTGCTCAGATTCTGTCAGATGCATCCAGCAGAGGGCAGCATGGTTATGATGCTGTGGTGCTTCTGGCTCTCCTGGTGAACTATAGAAAATATGAGGTCTGTTTGATGTGCATATGCTGACTTTTGACTGTGCTAGCGTTTCTTCATATAAAGCTTTTTCTACAATAGGCATGAACTCCAGTATAAAACCCATGTCAGACTGAACTGGGTTGTGTATCCAAAAGCAAAGATCAACCTCCTGTTCTCCGACGAATCTCCTTCTGGAAACTGATATGTATCTTCTGCTGTAAAGTCCAAAAATGAGAAGATATGTTAAAGGCAATTATTAGTCTCTAAACACAGAAACAGTAGAGAATAATAGGTAAAAATAACTAAGAGGAAGAAAATAACTCGGGCGTTTTAAATCATGTTTCCAGAATATTAATGGTGCCACACTCTGATTAGTTAAGCCAGTGTGGATGAGGGGTAAAACAGTGTCTTCATGCATCATCAGGGTGACTTTACCGGCTGACTGTTTCTATTTGTAGTCTTACTGGGATGCCAGCTTGGGTGCATCGGGGACAAAAAGAATAATATTCCAGCATCCAGTTTCTGCACTTGGTATAGATTTTAAAAACATTATTTTTTTGTACCAAAGCCCTTCTTGACGCCATATTTTCACCCTCTAGAAAGAAAAATAACCTTCAAAAAGGATGATGTATTTTTATTTGCATTTCTGAACATTGCATTGCTTAGCCTGACCAGTTAAATGTTGCAGGTTGTTAGTGTATATACTGGGTAGGAGGCTCTTGAGTTAGTAAGTTATAATAAATAAAGAATGGTCTTTCATGGTCTTTAATAATAAAGTATTTACTTTTCCTTTTCTGTTATAGTCTGTGAATCCATACATTGTAAAGCTCTCCATTGTGGATGATGAACCAACACTAGATGTAAGTATGCTGTCACTAGCTGTTCTTTGTAATTGCAGAATAATAAATAGCCAGCCTGATGTAGGTGGTCTTTACATCAGACAGATAATCAAAGCTTTCACTGACACCTTGAATGTTTTTCTTTTCCAGGGAATGGGTATGGTTGTCCACCAAGCTCTGACAGAATATAACAGGTGAGATTTAAAACTTCCATCTGTCAAAAAGGTGTTTTTAATGATGCAGTACATAGTGTGCTGAGAGTGTTGGTACCATCAGTTTAGTTTGATGTATCCTGCAAATGTTCTATTTCTATTCTCCTTAAAAGAAAACAGGCCTTCATAGCTTTAGTTATTTATATCTGACAGCTTTCTTTGGGAGTCTGTAATGTTTTTTGGATGAGGAAAGGTTCAGATATTAAAATGCTGTGTGTGAAGGAGGTCTTGTCTGTCTGCGTGCATAGACAGACACATCAAAATGATGGATGGTGGCTCAATGCACTTCATTGTTTTTGTGTATAAACTGATTGCCCGTAGATAATAAACTGCAGAGAGCAAAAGGAGGTGTTAGGTAAATGTGTGTTAGGTTAGGCATGGCTGTTTTTATTGCTCTCTTTTGTGGCTTACCTGCCTTTCATTAATTTGTCATTCACTCCTCTTTTTTTGTTCTTTCTACTTTCTGTCCATCTGGTCTTTTTCTCTTTTTAGGCAGTACAAAGACAAAGAGGAGGAGAACCAGGGTGGCTTCTTTTCTACCCTCACTAGTATGGTGGGCAGCATGTTTATAGCAGATGCTGATGAGAAGCTCTCCGTACAGTAAGTGCAAAGCTGTTTCACTTCCTACATCAGACAGATTCATTGTTCTTTATACTCAAGTTAAAAGTAACAGGACAGAATTAGAGTACGAATGAACAGGTTGGCTGAAATACTATAAACAGAAGGAAGACACTCAGATATTAATAAGTCTAACCCAGTATTTACTGTTATATTTACAATGTGTTACATATAGTTTTTAATGTCTTTAAGTCCATTTGTCAGAACCTCAGTTTCATTAATAAAAACAAGATTTATCTGGTAGAATTTTAGATATCTCGCCATGTTATTTCATCATTTAGATGCATGGACTTGCATGGAATTAAATCACTATTTTTGCCCATCAGTCCACATCCAGTAAGCCATAATAACACAGGAGCATTTGATTGTGGCCTTTGTCTAAACCACTTAGACAAAGGTACTATAATTTTGCTTTTGCTCCATTTGCATCCATTTTTCAGGTGATGAGTAGACCGAGTGCTCCTCTGAAATAGTGCTTGTGTCATCAGATTAGACGATTTGTTTGCTCTTGCTTTGTTGCTCATTTTCAGTTCCATATTAGTCTTGCAGGACTTAAAGTCTTTGTATTATACTGGACTTTAGTTTAGCATTTCAGTTAATGCTGTCTCTGAAATAAGTTCCATTCCAAGCCATCTTCATTCTCATTGGATGCCCCTTGCAAACAGAACATTTTTACAACAGGTGGGTGGGGCTTCTGGGCTCGCAGACATAGATGTGTGCTTGAGATGTCCATAGTAGGTATACACGCTCTCTGTGACATCATACCGATCTAAAAGTAGAAAAACATTGTGAAACTGAGTGTTGAGATCAGTCTGATATATATAGTCAGCTGCTGTATAATTCTCTCAGTCACTTCAGTCTTGCTAGTTTACCACCAAGGCCTGATGCTTTGTCCTCCTTCAGGAGGTTCTCTGATCTCTCCGTTAGGGTTAGGGGTCGGGGTTTTTCTTACACCTTTTTTACTTTACTATTTAGTTTGAGTTTTGAGTTAATGCTGAACTGAAGGAAAAGTTTTGTTTCAGATTTCTTGCATCTCACAGGTTTTGGGCTGCTGTGCTTGTGGGTTTATAAATCATTTGTAGGCTTCTTCTGGTTTATTCCTCACTACAGCTTTACAGCAGATGTTGTAGGAAGTTTATTGGACTTCTTGGCTTGGTATATAATCACTTTTTCACTGTGAGTTATTTAGTCTAGACTGACGGGGAAAAATATATAGCAGTAGACAATATAACTTTTATGTGGTATGATGTTTTTGAAGAAAGTAGAAGATAAAAACTGTTGCATTGTTTAGTACAGACAGTTTGGCTCAGGCCAGCTAACTTAATATGTTTAAAACTGCAGTCAAATACTTGTGTTCATAATCAGTATACTCACTGTTGTTTTACATGACTAATGTCCCAATTTCTATCAACATAAAAATGGACAATGCATTACGAGGGAATTTGGGAAATGATTTATTATTCTGTTCAAACATTGTGCAGTAGTTAATGACACAGAAAATTAAAAAAGTGACCTGCTGATGCGTGAAGCCGTTGTTAAGAAACTTTGAGCAGCAGAGTGCTTTTCCAGTTGTTCCTTGAGCTTGACTGGATCAAAGGCTGGAACACTCAGTCCACTATTTTGTAAAATTTGGATATTTATCCAATAAAAAAAGTGTTCTCTCTAACTTAACTTTCATTTCAAGGACAAATGAGGCGATTCTGCTGGCACTCTATGAGGCTGTGCATCTCAACCGCAACTTCATCACTGTCTTGGCACAGGTAACATACAACACTTTTTTGTGTTCTTCTATGCTCACAGCTTTTGGATGTTAGAGGTCAAGTAAAAGTTATTCCACCCCTTACTTTTTCTGTAATTTTGTATGTTGATGCCTTTTTGCCTGCGCTGTAACTCACAGAAAGTTGGTAAGAAACTACCTTGTCTTCATTTATGATTTAATTTAAAGAGATATTACAGGTGGTCCTCACGCTAAGCAAAGGTCCTCAGGTCCAAAAGTTCCTGAGGTTCTCAGACTGCAATGAGAATTCAGACAACTTTGAGTTTTATGATTTCATCTTTAGCAAACCTTATCATTTACCTCCTCTCGAGGTTGAAATCTTTTTAATCTTAAATCTTCAGCTACACATGGTATCTGTGAGATGATTTGCCAATAACGACCGATGCGCAGACCAGTGGTTAAGAGTAGAAGTGGAAACACGCATCACTTTTTATGTATAAGTGGGCACAGGAAAAACTGTTTTATCATGAGGAGACCTTTGAAAGAACCAGGCCCGGGGAAGGACAGCCATGTGTTGTGAGTGGCTGGGCTGTCAGTGAAACAGAAGAGAGAAAAAAAGAGACTATAGAGAGAAAATACTAACTATGGGAGTTAATTACATGCATTTGTCATATATAAAGGCTTCGGAAGTGAAAAGATTGGAGTTGCTTGCAATTTAATGTGTTTTGCTCTTTTAGTATAAATGACTTGATAAGAGTAAAGCGTTTGAGCTAACGACCTAAATAAGGATAAGATGGCAGCCTCAGGACCAGCTCACAAATGTGCTGCTTTTTTGCAGTGTTGTGCTGATTTGCATATTTCAGGGTAAATGAAGAGATTAGGTGAATGATTAGTGCATCGTTCTGTAGATGTTTCACTCTCCTAAACGTAATCTGTCTCTACTACTCTTCTTGTTTTCTCACTGACTCAGCTTTTCTTTACATTATGAGACTCTAGGCAAGGTTAATCACTGTTAATGAGGTGTTTTTATGTGTGTCATGTCTTTCCACAGAGCCATCCCGAGATCGACATTGCCGCCACACCTACCACCACTACTCCAACCACCCCTACGACGCCACTTGGCACAACGCCGCCCTCCCTTGACAGTAAGCTGTACACTTAATATTTTGATTCAGACACGCGTAGACTCAGAAAAGCTTACATGATGTCAGGGGCATTAATCATTGGTTTCGGAGGGCAACTCTCACTGGCTTTATATCACTGTTTGGGAGCACATTTTAAAGTTTCTAGAAAGAATATTTGTTGACCGCAGTAGTCAGTCAACAGACCGTTTTAAAGGCGTTGTCTGGAGGTTGAAAATTGATTGAATAGACTCAGTTACAGGATTCGGTTTTTTAACCTAAAAAACTGTAACCTTGTCTTCTTTGATATAAAAAAAAAAAGACCCTTCAAAGCACCTGAATAGGCCGAGAGCACTGCAAAGGTCTCTAAAGCTGTGGAGCGTTAATGGTCTCTGCTTCTTTGCGTCCATTTAATCGTAACTTTTAATATGCATTTTTAAACACTCCCTTTGAATCTGGCAGCTTTTGTTCACGTTTGCTTTTAAACACTCAAAAGCAAAGAGGCAGAAATAAAAAATACAGTTTGTGCTCTTTACCTGATAGAATTGAGTTCCTAATACACACTCGAT